AAAGCTCAGTATACTAAATGTATACATAATGCTCCATGCCACATCCTCATGCCATTCAAGAAAAGGGATATTCTAGAATGGATAAATTTACTCTAAAAATAAAATTGTCTTACCTTCCTAAAGGCACTTGTTCTGTTACTTTTTCAAGTACTGCAGGGTTGTCAACCAACTGTTCATAAATAAATATAAAATAATTAAGTATCAACATTATGGGAATATATAATGTATTCTAATATCAATATTCAATATTTCAAAGCAAAATACGCACGCATGCACTCACCCACCCACCCACCCACACACATACACCTAATTAATGCAAGACTTGGAAAAAATCTATGATGAATTAACCTGTTGGCATCAGGTTTATGCACTGTCCACTATAGTTTTATTTTGTGAAATTATCTAGACATAGATGGCTCAGTAATTGCTTACTCACAAAGGAATCAATTAGCAGGCATAACGGCCCTCACCATAGCTTGAATTTCAAGGTATGGTGAGAAAGAAAGAAAAAAATGTTCCTGTTATTTTTAATATCATTATCATTGTTATTGACATTATGATTATTATGATATTAGAAATATTAATAAGATAGAAATCTTTCATAGAATCAAAGAAAAGCATAAACAGGTGAAAGCAGAAGGGCCAACTAAATGACTCCTTGGTGACTAAGAACTTCTCAAACCATCTATTTACAAACAAATTAACAAACTAAAATCACAGTGGACTGGTTATGTATGTACATGTACTCTTAGCATTAATGGGCTAAAACTGTTACATCCTGGTAATCTTTCTGAAAAATAACTTCCATTATTTCACCCTGTAGCATGGAGTAATGAATGCTGAGAAAAATAAAAATGATTCATAGCATAGATACATGACACATGAAATGAAAAGACGGAAAAAATAATACAAATATTTAAAGGAGCAAAAAGGGTGACATTTATAGAAAAAAAATGTTCAGGCATATTGCCCTCTGGTGTAATGTAATATCACAGACACTAAAAAAGGAAAAGAAAATGCTGGTAGAACAAATATCTAAATAAACAAACATTGTTAGAACTTCAAAATCAAGGATGAGTCTTACCGCTGATGAAAATTTAGTTTTGACAATTCCTGGCGCTACACAATTGACACGTATATTGTCTGATGCAACCTGCAGAGCAACAGCCTTTGTCAGTCCCAAAAGAGCAGTTTTGCTTACACTGTATGCTCCAAGCAACTGAAAAGAGAGAAGTGAAATAAGACAAAAAAAGGAAAAAAGTTGCAAAGAGAGCCATTTATAACAAAACTATATCATGGTTACTATTTAAGAAAAAATAATAAATAAAAAATAAATTGTTATGTAATTACTTTAATACAATACTATTTTGAACTTGGTAACTGAACACCAAAAAATAAGCAAACTGCAAAGTCGATCACTTCCTAATAAATGAAATTTAAGATATACAAAAATATACACAATGATTCGCAATCAGTGAATGCAATAAGATCTCACAGAAAATACTTACACTCATGGGATGGAAACCTGCAATAGATGACACATAAACAATAGCCCCTCCTTGCCGTTTTTGCATGTGAGGGACAACCAACTGCGACAACTGAAGAGCATTTTTGACGTTCACTTCAAAGATTTTGTCCCATACTGGTTCTGGGCACTGTAATGGGATGAACGTAACAGCTATGTTATTTTGATGGTGAAAAGAGCAGTTATTATAGAAAATCATTGTTATGATAATGGCTACATTTTGAATATGAGAGTGAGTCCAAAATAAAATTGAATGAATAGACTTGTCTGCATGAAAAAAACATTAATCTACATAAATTAATAATAGGGATAAAACTTACATCAAGGACTCCTCCAACTGCAGGATTTACGGCTGCATTTGAAACCAGGATATCAATACCACCAAACTTTTCAACTGTCTGTGGGAAATGATAATTTGGTTTTGTTTTCACTTATTGTCAAATAGTATATAATGTCAAATACATACCACTTATGAGTTTATTAAAAATTATCTATATCAATTAATCTACCACTTACACAAACATTTGTTGATAACAGCATTTGTATAGCAATTTTGTGTTACATCAAAAAATAAAAGATCTGTAGTAGTAGTTTCCAACCTCTTTACCGCCAAGGATTTTTCTTATGAATGGTCTTTCTATTCAACAAGCTTATTCTAATCACTAACAACAAACTTATTTCCTATTCTGATTTCATAATGAAAGATGTGTGTAACTGTGTATGTAATTAAATAAATAGAAAGGAAAAAATAATAATAAAATTTTGAGAGCCTACTTTTAACAACCTTAATATGAGAAACTGCTATTTTGAACTTGGCTCATGAACCCCTAAATGATAGTTATGATGATCTTACAGCCTCCAGGGATGACAGATTGGGAACCAGGAAATGCATGTTTACTCTAATGAAATTATAATTAAATGTACATGTACAATGTTCTTTTTCTCTCTTTCAAATGCTATCAAAGAGCTTATCTAGCACTTTTAAACAGATAAATCTTATGAGTAAATGAAGCTGAAACTGTGTTTCTGCTGTGTATTAGCTATAACTAGTTTCCAGAAGAAAATATAAAAGTGTGAAGCGACTTACTTTTCATTTAATAAAACCAAAGGAACTCAGTCCTGGTGTTAGATATATTTTGTAACCAGAATTCCTTATCAGAATTTTCAATATATTTCCTAGGCATTATTTCAGATTTAATCATATCAAAATTGATGTAGGTCATATATTTATCACTCACACATGAAAATAACTATCTATGCAGTAACCACAAAAGTATTAATCCAATGCTACCAGGGATGGCATGTATGAACATGACATGCTTACAGTGCATTAAGTGTATAAATTTATACACAGACAACTCCACAAGTACTTAGGCACCACAGAGCCACTTACCAGTCCTACCTATCCTACCTCTTAACCCTTTTCCTTGATTTTTGGAAATAATTTTATTTTATATACTACTAGCATGTTAATACCATTTTAATAACCATAATGCCAATAATAATAATAACAGCATTGATATTAATAGAATAAGAAAAAGAGAAGAAAAGAAAAAAAATAAAGGAAAGGCAAAATTAGGTGAGGTCATAGAGGTCTACTAACTGACTCCTTGGTAGCTGAGCACTTGTGGAGTCATCTATGTATAAACACATCTCACAACACAAAACTACAAACAAGGCTAACAGTAAATACTTTACCAATAACTCTAAATCACATAGAGTACATCAATACACTTTTGAACTCTATTAAGAACATCTTCAAATATGTTAAAATACTTTCAACTGTAATCTAAACAGTTTGTTCTTCAAAATGGAACAATAAGTCAAAAATTCAATATAAAATCTGAGGCTCAATAAACTTCCAATTACCTAATTACTGCATGGATGATCGCACTTTATAGATTACGTTATCGCTAATGATAAATAGAAATAGAAATGGGATGTAATAAGTCTCCTGGATTTTCAGGCCATGACTGTGTAAGCTGATAACAAAGTCAGAGAAAGAGATCATGTAAAATTTATACAAGGGGTAATGAAAATCAATAATGCTGAACCTGTGGTTTAAAAATGACTACAGGTAATCTACTTGACACTCTTTGACCAAATTTATGACGACGAGCTATGTATCCTAAACTTACCTTAGATATGAGTGTCTCTCTATCATCTGCTTTTGCAACATGGCATGGTATACCGGCCACTGAGCACCCTATTCCCTCTAGTTCAGCAACAGCTTTATCTACATTTGCCTGTTTCCTGCTGCTAACCACCACATGGGCTCCATCCTCTCCAAGACGACGAGCTATTGCAAGACCAATTCTGCAAAAGCAATAATTTTCAAGGAATTGTATTTGGGAGGGAGTATTCAATTTGTATTATCTAGTTTTCAAAATTCATTCAATATAGAATTACTGTATTACATTGATAGTTTAAGAGATTCTTTACTAAGTTTACAGTGAATGTTTAGAAGAAAAAAACTATAGGTTGAGCAATGTTTATGGGGATGACAATTGCCAGAGAATGTAACATAATTATTGACAGCACAAATGCATCAAGAATGCTGTGGCTTCTGCTCACTAGCTAAGGCCAACAAATCTCCAACACATATAATTGGGCAAGTTAGACTGTAGCTGGTACTTTATTTGATGGTATATCACCAGGAAGACCTTCTAGCTCTAACACCTCAAAATATGCAAGCTAGCTTTAGTTGACCATTGCCCGAGAGTCAAGAGGGTATACCTTCAACTACTTGATGTGAAGTCTTGCTGATTTTGGCTCTTTGTTGTTTATTCTTTACAACTAATAACGTTAATTTTATGAACCCTGTTTATATTACATTTAATTTCCTCTATCTCAGAGTGGTCCTTCTGTAAGTATATAAATGTTCTGCAGATAACCAGTTATCTGTGACTGGCTCTGTACTGATCCTTGTGGCCTCTACACCACATTTCTGCCTGGTGATTCATCACACAGGGCAGGAGTTCTCAGACAAATAAATCTGATAGATTCATGATCCACTTCCTCAGCAACAAAGTAGTATCTATTATCAGTATTACTAGAGAATTAGAAAGAAAGAAAGCATGCATACATAACATAGCCTCATGGTGCTTTATTGAGCATTAGGCAGGCTCACCTGACTGACAACTACTAAGATGGGTAGAGGAGGAGGAGGAGGACAAGGGGTTGCAGGATCTTGCGATCCTTCAAAATTATTTAGTGACCCTCTGGGGATCAGGAGCCCCACTTTGAGAACCTCTGATATGAGGAACTAGTCCAAACTTTGTCATGCCAGGATATAACTTGGAGAGATTTGTTGATCATAGCCAGAATGTAGGTGTGAAGACTATGGCAATTACTTGGCAGTGTGCAAATGTAACATTGGACTTCAGTTAGTAGCCCATCCAACCACAGATCACTGCAAGTTTCATGGGGGTTTAGATAAAACACAACCAATGTATTTACTAGAAAGAAGTCTCGGTTTGAAAGTCACTGCAGGAGTCTTTTAATCACTTATTCTATTATAATAATTGATTCTATGTCATGTAACAATTATTAAATAGAAAAAAAAACATTCTGTTAATGAAGACCTGGAAAGAGCTTTTCACAGACCATGAAAATGAACAAAAATACAAATTTGAAAATAACAAAAAACATCAGAGATCCCTCTGTATCCTTCATGACTTACCCATCAGTGGAAGCCGTGACAATCGCCACTTTGCCAGCCAGGGACCGCTGGCTGGCACAGGCCGTGGTAGTGATCATCCTGAGCCTCTGATGTGACGGCCGTAGCACACTCCGGAAGGCGCTCAGAACTCCTCCAGCAACCATTATCACCTCAGAGGTAGGCTTCTCCCTTGGCTTGTATATTCACCCGGTGACAAACCCGATAGCGATCGTCCTTGGCCTCTGGATCAGCGCCTTGGATAGTGACTTGTGGTTGTCGCGGTGGAGGCGGGGTGGCCGTGGGGGGCTAGGGGGGAGGGGAGGGGTGGAGTTAGGGCGGTGGGGGGGATGGGGAGGGATGGGGTAGACGGGGAGGGGGGAGAGGCTAGGGGATGGGCTGGGTAGGAGGGCGTAGGAGGGGGACCTGGAGGGATGGGGTCATGGGGAGGTGGGCTTGGTGTAAACATTGGCTCGTTCAGATTTCAACTATTTTTCCATCATTGTTTTTGCAATTGTGAAGTTTCGATATAACATATTGGTTTAATCGTGTTGTAATTCTACAATAAAAATGGTATCACTTAAAACTTCGAAAGACCAACGCCAGCAACCAACACAAACAGTATAACATCCAGGACTTTAAGAAAACATTTAAGTAACATTTTCTCAATATAAAGGTTAATGGATTTTCTCTGAAGCGTCTGTTTATCATAGTTACTTTTTTCTACCATTCTCATTTAAAGGCCTAAAAATGCTCGAACGCACGAACCTCCGCCAGGGATACGACACTATGATATATCTAATAACTAAAAATAAATTCAGCTAGTAATTTTGCCTAATATAGGTAATAAACTATACTGCTTCAAAATAAATATACCTAATGACTGCAATCTGAAACTTTCTTGGAAATAAAAGACACATGTTGAAGGAGTAACGTGATGATCGTAATAGGAGTGTCGTGACCCTGGCCATATAACATTGGGTATGGCCTGAGAAACACGTGCGAAACTTGTCACTCTGATTAATACCCACTAGTGACGGGATATTGCTGGGAAAAAACTATATGAAACGTAGGTTTGCAACGTAAGTGTATGATTCAGGTGTGATATTCATAACATTACTGATTCTGAACCTAACTTCCTTGCGCTGAGTAGTGGTGTCTGATGGTGTGTCACATTTCAGGCCTTTAGTAGAAAAGCTCCTGTGTTATTGTACTACTTTAGGTTAATGCTATCAGAAAAAGAGAGTTTTTGTTGTACCCGGCAAATGAGAACCTACATGAGCTCCAATTAGGAAAAACAGGTGTTGATAATTACAAAATAATCGTTTTCACAAGTCTCAATCCCCATCAGTCTCAAAGATAATGCGCAGGGTCCTGGTAAGCACATAACATGCATATGCCCAGTGGCTTTGTTAGTGTCTAGTGTTGTCAAGAGTTTCTGGATCCCATTGGTCAAAAGGTCAAGCGGCGGGATTGGAGAGATAGGCCTATCGGGTATGTTGGGTGTACTGGCGCCTCTGTGTGTGAATAGGGATGGGAATTGTGTGTTGAGTGAGCATATTTTGTGTTCTGGGTGCCACAGAAGTGTTGCAAAAGGCTCTGATTGCAGAGGTGTCTTATCTGCATGGCTTGAAGAACATGGAGTGTTTAGGGTTGTTTCTGACATTGTTAGCAAGGAAAGTTGCAAGTATGTTTCGTGTTCAGCTTTTTTTTTTTAAATGTTTTTGAATGGATTGGAAAGTGGTCCAATTTTCTGGAGTGCCGTATGTTTGTGTGCATCTGTAGAGTCGTTGTTTTTTAAGGTGTTTTCTGCATAGGTCCCTGAAGAACCAGGGTAAGTATGTCTGCTTGTAGAAGTTTTCTGTTGTATGTGTTTTTCCACGGATGTGAGGATGGTATGTTTAAGGTCGTTGAAGTGAAGGGTCTTGTGTGGGGACCTGTATCGAAATCATCCTTGCCGTAGCTAGTGATGTCCTGTGTTTTTGCATCTGTGTCAGCCCTGGAAAAGAGGAAAATAGGTCTGCACCTCTGTCTTTGTCTGATTGTTCTGAGGTCTGCATCTGAGAATAATGTCATGGTCACCAAGTCCTGGGATAACGATGACCTATTCCTGACAAACGTTGGTTGTGAAAAATAGGTTTAGAATGTGTGAGGTTATGTGAGGGTCACTGGTGCCATTGGGATGTGTTATGTTTTGTGTTCGTGTTGGAGTTAGTACTGTTTGTAAGAGTGAATGAGTATTTATGATATCAACGAAAGAGTCATGTAATTGGCACCTGCTTGTGTGTGGAATAATGGGTGCGGCAAGGTCTGTGTATGTGGGGTCGTGGGGAGATGGAACAGTCCAGTCAATGTCAGGGAGGTTCAAGTTGCCTGCATTTCATCTGTTTCTGTCTGCATTTATGCATGATAGGGATGTTTGAGGGGTTTGTACAGTTAGAGAGTTGGAGTTGGACCCAGACAATTTTGCAATCTGTGTCAAGGTCTGGTCATGGTTTAGTAACAAGACCTGGATTGGTGGCAATGAGGACAAGTGTGTAGTAATACTTAAATTACTTGACAGATTGCAGCAGTCATATTTGTTTTTATCCTCATAAGGTAAACACACAGGGGAATTAGAAAATGATAGGTCAATCTTCTCTCTTCTGTCATGTATTTCCTTTATTTTCCCTTTGCCAGGGATGAAAGGTGTCTAAATTATTCTCAAGATAACCACTTCATATTTATTTTTATTTATTTATTTATTTATTTATTTATTTATTATTTTTTTTTTTTACTGTTATCCTGATTGTCATCCACTAAAAATATTTTCTACAACAATACATGAGATTTGGGGTTGGAGTTATCTCTCACTATGGGTAACGAGGTAGTGGTTCACTTTTGAAACGGATTTCAACATATTTAAATGTGTCGTCTATGTGGACATACTGATTATATATATGTGTGTCTTTATTTATTTTATTTTTTTAGTTAATTAATCAATTAATTAATCTTTTTAAAGTATGTTTTATCAGTCTTATCTTCTGCTGAAGATTATTTTCCTTAAAGATATCCTAAATTTAATGCTTCAGAAATTCCAGTATCAGTTCTGATGTTTCATCTTAAAGTCATGAGATTTATATCAGCAGTTTCTTCATATATATTCCCAAAATTTTTATTATAATATCTTGGTCGTACTCAAATAATTACATTAATATTTCTGAATAACTTAGATTTATTATGAGGTATTTTTTCTATACTGATCACACAAGGTTTAGTCAAAAGTTTTAATTAAATTAATTGAAAATTATATTTTACCCACAGGTTGACATAATCAGGAAGCCAAGATGCCTTTCTGTCAGGCAAATAACAACAAGCTACCATCTAACTTACCGCAACTGCAGAACCTGATCAAGCGCGATGCAGCCTCATACACAGAGGAGTTTGAAAGGCAGCATGCAGTCTACAAAGCTACATGTGCCATATTTGAGCAGAATCCTACAGTGTACAATAACCAGCTTCATGAAATTATAATGTTTTTATCACAGGTCTGAAACTTGTTTCTTTTTGTGTTATCTCTTTTAATTTCTTTGGAAACTACTGTACATTTTCTAATAATATTATTTTCCTTTAAGTGAAAGTATGGTAATAGATAAATGTCCTTAGAGAAGATTTTCCTATAGATAAACCATAAGACAGCTAAAAGAATTAACTAAGATGATTTAAGATTATAAACAATGACCGTACATATGAATGTGTTTGTCTTTATCTCTGTGAATAAATATTTTATGTGGTTTTCCCTTTGTGCAGTTGGTATGATGATATTGCAGTAGAAAATCTGAATTAGTTTAATCTTTAATTAAAGTATAACAGTATTATTACATACTATTTTTCTTTTTTCCATTGATAGGTGGCCCAGTTTTATCCTGAGCAGCTGAATGAGTTCCCTCAAGAGTTAGTGGCCATCCTGAAGCGTCATGCGTCTGTCCTGCACCCACACATGAGAATGTCTCTAGTGAAGGCCTTGATGTTCCTGAGAAACAAGAACCTCATTTCCCCTTTAGAACTCCACATGCTCTTTTTCCAGTTGTTGCGTTGCCAGGTACGTTATATCCTTTATACTGGTAGTGAGTGTTTAAATTATTGGTTCTTACTTTTTCTACTACCACTCCCTTTTAGGAATTTGTTTTTCCTTCCACCCCCCTCTCACTTGTGTCTGTGAATGAAATTCCCTCCCATGTTTTAAAGAGAATTCTTTATATGTTTTTAGTCTTTTTATTAAGTAAGAATTAGTCACATTATTATTTAACTTCTCATTATTTGACCAATAACATTTCTATTCTTCTAGAAATATTTGTTCTCATTTAGCAACTTAGGGGCCTTTCCTTTGGTCTTTTCTTAAAGGTATCTACCTTTCTTCAATGGGAAAAGTGAAAAGATTCTTTCCTATTGTAAAGACTTTACAATGTGGCAATGTTTTAACCCTGTAAAAGTATTTCTAACATAACATTGGGCACTTAGATGCTCACAACTGGAGTCTAAAACTAAATGTTTGAAAAAAATAAAAATTTTCCATTCACATAGATACAACAAATACCTGTTGCTAATAGTGACTCCTTCAGATGAGCTGCTGGCATAGTGTCAGTATGTGGTGCTTGAGATCTGTGTTCAAAAAGTGTGTGTGTGTGGGTGTGCGTACGCATGCACGCGAGCAAGCATAATGTTAAAATGTTCCACAGACATCTCCTGGAGGCTTGTATTCTGAACATTTTGAGATCAAAATCATCAGTTAGGGTGGGAAATTCTGGCTCGAGCTTTTGTTACTGTAAAAAGCTGCAAACTTATTTGCATTTGAAAGTTCTAATACACTCATTGTATAATATATTTTATCAAATAATTTACAATAGATCATGCAAAGTCATATATGATACACAAGCTTTTATCCAGATATTGTGGTGCAGCTGGTCTGTGTGATGCACAAAAAATAGAAAATGGCTCTAAGTTGTTCATAATACTAGTAAAAGAGGTGAAGGTAGAGGATAACTGTAAACAAACATACCCTAAATGCAGTTATAAGTAGGGCTAAGCGTGCATTATTCCTGTATATACACTGCTTATGAGTCAGTGTATCAATTTTTGCTGGGTGTGATATTGTTGTAATGTATGATTCTAGATTTTGGTATCAATGGTAGCTGATCACTTGGGTAGCCATATGTGTACAATAAAACAATATTGGAGTGTACTTATACCTGTGTACAAAGGATGAAAAAGAAGTGATAGAATTATCATTTGGCATAGATTTCTGTATGTAGTATTAAG